CAACCCAAGGACATTTAAAATAATATAAAAACCGTGTATTTTCTGTGTTGAAATGAATCCTGGAGTAAAGTACTTCTCGAATACTTTGTGTCTTCTCTTTCGTGTTCAAATTGCTGTATAGTTTTGGCTTGGGGGTTACAGACTAGCTTAGGAGACAAATATCGCATTCAATCCGCAAGACTTATCATATTTTGTGGTGTGATGTGGTCTGTATATAAATCCATTATGTTTGAAATAGACGATTCATATCGCAAAGGCTGAGATTGGTGGTTTCGACTTAACTGGTTCGGCTAGGTAGGAAGCAGGACCGATAATGACTCTAGACTGCTCGTACGAATTTTATGCGTCATTGTTTCGGTCGATAAATCACTATTCACTAATTGGTGATATCATTACGTTATATATTAATAGGGTCATAAGGCCACAAGTTATAACAATCTAAAGCTTAACAACAAGTGTTTTTGCTAAAGAGAACTGGGGATAAACTTTCGTTTGATAAACGTATTTTGGTTAAGGTGGATAAAGCTGTTTTATCGAAGGATATCATCAGTTCGTCGTTGTTGATTCGAATCTCATTAACCTTATCCAAAAATAGTATGGGAGTTTGATGAAATTATTGAATGGGTACACTGAGTGGTTCAGTAGTATTGAAATTTCTCTCGGTATGTTGTAACTTGGGGTTCCGGTGAGTGATATAATCAGACCCGGTTGGATGTTTGTTGTACATAGTGTCAGCCTACCAAAGAATCAAGGTAGTACAGGTCCAGGGGACTTCATTCTTCATTGGTCTTGTTTTGCTATATTTTCAGCTTTGGCAAGCTTGTTTATAGTGCTTGATATTTAGTTGTCTAAGGTTTGATATTTGGCCATTGGTTTATATACCCTTTCATTTTCAAGTAGTTCTTCGGCTTTCCTGATACAATTACTGTGGTGAGTCTTTTTTCCGCTGAAACTATGACAATGTTTCTTCTAGTTCTAAGTTCCTTTGAGGCTCTTTTTTCTTGTGCGTTCATTTCGGTGTTGTCTTTCTTCCATCGAGTTAGCGGTACTATGGCCTGTCTTATTTTTACTGAGTTTCTTCACCTATTCCTCTAGTTTTGAATGATGAGTACAGTGCAGAGAGGAATCATATTTTTGAAGCGTCACTTGTTGTGTAATTCAGTCCTTTTCGGAGAAAATGTACTTCTATGTTTGTCAAAAGGTTTTTGACGGGTTGACCACTCAGTTTTGTGTGTTTTCATATGCCGTTATAGCTTTCAGTTTGTCAGGAAAACTGAGCTAAGATATTCCACCAACAATAGGCGCTGGAATTTCAAGCCGTTGAATGTGTCAGCTCTACAGGACTATCTACAACAGGTGGATTGAGATGTCCACCCTCAAATGGATGTGGATGCTCATTGGGATTTCTTACTGCACAGGCTTTTGATAGGGTCAACCATAAATGTCTTATCACTAAGCTCAAACGACCACCTCTAACTGACTGGCTCATTTCATATCTACAACATTGGCATTTCAAGGTCAGGGTTAACTTTGCTTAATCTCAGGCTATGGAATATCCTAGTGTGGTCCTCCGGGGCTCAGTACTAAGACCTCTTCTCTTCTTGATCTATATAAATAATCTTCCACAACAGGTATCGTCTGACTTATTACTATTTGCTAATGACGTGAAACTTTGGAGAGAGAGGCGCAACCAAGACGATATACAGGCACTTCAGGAGGACCTGACTCGATTTCATAGTTGGGAAGACGATGACGGACTTACCTTCAACATTTCAAAGTGTAAAGTAGTTCATCTGCGACATGTCGCAGATTACAGATACAACTTAAGAAACTCCGCTCTAGAAGTATCCCAAGTCGAAAAAGATTTAGGAGTCCTGATGCTCTATGATTTGAAGTATTACGCTAACTGTGACAAAAATGCCTTCCGAACAAACCTTGCACTGATAACACCGAGACGCATTTTTAGCCAGTTTGGCGGAAGAACTTTACACATAAGTTTCAACAGTTTTATTTGTCCCCATTTAGAGTATGAAAACATAGTATTTCCTCCTTCACTTCAAAAAATTAAGGACACTCCGGAGCGTATCCAACGGCGAGCGAAGAAGTCAGTTTGGGTACTCAAATCCAAACCTTATTAAGAGCGCCTCCAGTCACTCAACCTTTACCCATTAGAGTATAGGCATCATAGAGGTGACCTGATGGCTTGCAATATCATTAACGCTTCTGAGAATCCCCAAAACACCTACTTAGGCTTAGTCCCAATACAAAACTAAGGGGTAACACCCAGAAATTGGATATACAACATAGCAGAACGGACTGTAGACAAAACTTCTACTCCTTAAAGGTTATCAAATGCTGGAATTCTTTGCCGACTGAACTAGTTCAAGAGAATTCCCAGGAGTCCTTTTAGAGGAAACTTGACTTATTCTTAAGGACTGAGGATAGCATCCCATTAAGATTTACCAATCTCTTTTTTACCTCTGTCATCGTTAATATACCTGGGTTTCCGCCTAAAGGTATTGATGATCAACCAGTTGTAGATGATGACAGCTATGCACTAGAATTGTGCACTACCAACGGCTCGCCATAAAACCCCTGGATAACTACTGAGCACATAAATACATCCATGACACTGGAAAGGAATGGGTACATTGAAAGATGGATGGCACCAACGTAAGAAAAAACTAACAGTTTTTGCCTATTTGACTAATCAATACAGGATTACCCTCGACGATTACTACATTATCAGGTTGAAGCGACGTTTACCTAGTATCCCCGCAAACGATAACCTGTTTCGTTTAATCTTAATCGTAATGTTGTTATAATAATTCATGTTTCGTTACTATCAACAACGCTACTGTCCCGCACCTACCAATGGACGATATTTACTCTGTATGATTCTGAACAGATAACTTGACTGTAGAGTACCTACAGTACACTCTCCTTCCAATCCTCCGCATGCAAAACTAAAAAGGAAGTGCTAAAGCACTCATGGAGGCTGAAAGTGCCGGCAACGTGCTTCGGTGAATGAACGTTACAAACTTGTTAAACCTTAACGCAACTTCATTCATATATTCGGAGAAAATTATTCAACTCTTACATAACAGGTTCAACTGAAATACGTATTCAATTACTCTAGTGTAAATTTACCGACTATTCAGCTACAAAAATCATCACTTGGTGAAAAACTTTGCAATCCGCTGGCGAACATTAACGAACTCAACGCTAAAATTCAGCATGAACGCCTCACTCATGAGGCACATAAACTTGGCCCGTATCTAATAAGGATTATGAGCACTTCATGACAACTCTTGCAGACTGTTGTAATAACGTGGTGAACACAATATCTACAGCTGTGCCATTGCCCACAAAAGTATATAAGTCTCGATTAGTTGATCTTCTGGAGAAGCAGAATTTATTGATGTCTCCCAGATAAGCGTGCAGAAATTGTCATTATGGATCGTCATGAAAATGCTACCGAATTATCCTCAGCATTATCGGATGCTTCTAAATTCTCTAGTGAAACCATCCAAAAGGATGTAAGTGGAAAAATGGACCAGATGTTATTTGAAATTCCAAAGAGGATGAAAGATGAGTTTATTGTCAACTGCGACCTCTATGAACATCCCAGACCATCGGATTCCTCTGTTACGACACTATACGGGCTGTCGAAATTTCATAAGAACAATGTCCTCATACGTTCCATATTTGAGATGAATAGCTCTTCGTATTATTTGATTGTTAATTGGTTAGCTGATATTGTAAGACCCGTCAGAAATCACATCAATAGTTACAACTCTCATGATTTATTTGATTCTTTCGACTCAGAAATATCAACGTAAATGGTAGAAAAATGATCTCGGTGGATGTCAATTCCTTGTTTGCAAATGTTCCACGCTCAGAATGTATGAGCTTTTATGTGACAATATTGAAGTAACAACTTTGGTATGTGTATATCAAAACGTAATCTAAAAGGGCGACTTCTAAAAAGTACCCTCAATAGGCGATTCAGATTTAATATTGATATTTACGGACGAAATGATTGGGTTGCAATCAGTTCACCATTGGGCTCACTTTTGACTGATTGTTTCAAGATCAATCTGGAAAATAAGGTGCTTAAACTAATAATTGAGAGACGTGATTCACATAAGAGATATATGTATGATAATCTCATTATTTGTGAAGATATGAATCTGAATGAAGTTTTGAATCGAATCAATAAATGTCACCACTCAATTCAATATGCATTTTCAGCTGAGGTGAATGAGGATTTTGATTATCTTGATGTCAGGTTGAAAAGAAGGTCAGGCGGTTTCCTAATGTGATCTATATATAAGAAGCCAACCTAGAATGTCAGCATACGAACTTTCATATATTAGTCGGATTGAGAATAAAGGAATAAGTTCTAATAACGCAATAGATGACATGGTCATAAATCGTGTTGTCTTAATTCTTTTATTCAGATGGCATATATCGTTCTGTTTCTAGCCTAATTTTGTTTTCCATCATATGTTGATGATTATCACAAGTTCAACACAGGAGTACTCAGATCATGTCTATACATAAGCTTCCTCCTTTAAAATAATTCACACCATCAAATGAACAAGATCCAAGGTAGATAAAATCGAAAAACTGTTCGCTGTTTAGGCTTTGTTGATCCACCTATTCAAGACCGAACTCTGTGTGCAAAAATGATGAGTCCGAAGTCTCATCCTTCCCTGATCCTGATTCCCTTCTGTTGTATGTTCTAGTCGAGTTTTGCAATTTTAAACCGAAATCGGTCATTATTATTCTTTAAAAATTTTCATGATTATTATTCAGTTATTTTGTTTTTCGTTATTCTTCTTGTCTGTCAGGTGAACAATCATCCTTCATTATTTTGACCCACAAATTATTTTCTGTGTACTTAATTACTATTTACTCTGGTAACATAATTTTTGAACGCGATCTGACATATGGAAATAGCTTGATCGCAACTCGTAAATGATTCCTGGAAATTCTAAAACTCTTATTATTCACAAAGATTATCACAGAGTGTCTCGAGAAATAACAAATCGGTAACAACAGAAAAATTTGTATTCACTCAAACAAGACGTAAACGCACAATTGTGACAATTGAATAAATAAAATGGATTATTGAAGAGTAAGCAAATAATTGCATAATAATGTGCTTGGTAATCGAGTGCATCAAAATAAGGTTACAGTACTATTGCAGTATTCTCGAAATTTTAATTGCTTGTAAGTGCCACATATCAACATTAAAACGACTCAAAGAAGAAGAAGAAAAAGGAGAGTAATAGAACAGTTGTTAAATCAGTTATCGCAACGATGTCCGAACGAAATTAACCAATAATTCACAATGATTATCATCATCATTTTGAAACGTGACTTCGATAACTTTCGAGCATCTTCTAGACTAAATAAAGTCATGCATGTAAATTTATTAGAATCATGCGAAAGAATCACAGTTATAAAGTGGTATCTGATTCGTGTAATCAATAACCGATATGTTATATTATTTATCGTTTCAACTCAAATGAACACAACTCAATTTATTCATGAACTGGACAAACTGAAATAGAATTCACCGTAAATTATCCGAATTCAAATGAAATAATCAAGATACCCATTTGATTGTGTTGTCGAACTCTCCTCGGTGTCTTTTACTGACTATTCGAACATAATAAACAGACATTGGGATTTTGGCTTATGACGGAATCCAAGATGTGATTTCCAACCGCATTAGTGACCGCCACAATTATGATCAACTTGTGTTTGACACTTGCATCAATCAAAATCATTAGTAAATTCATTTTCCATACAATATATAACGGATAATTACACGAAAGTATTTGGTCGATGAAACATATTTAATTGACTCACAATTCACACTTTTGTGTTTCGACGATTAACTTCATTGACAATATCTGTTAGAAGACGATGTTTCACTAAAATGTTTCCAAACAAACACTGAGTGACTCATTTTAAAGTGTAATGAGTGACGTGATTTCACCGAACAATTTCGCAAAATGTTTTATGATATATTGAATTGTAATGTGTGACTTGTATTTCATTTAATGGTACATTTAGATACTTTACTTTGAGTACGTTATTCAGTGAGCATACAAACCAGTTTTGAATAATAATCCAAAGCTTACATAAACACTACACGTTTCACAGGCGAACTGTTTATTGGGTCAAATTTATCCTCCAAAAAAAATTTGGTTCAGTATAACGTACATAAATGTATATTGTAATTCTTCATAACTTCGTATATCTCGATAACCAATGTAGACAATCGGAAAATATCTGGAAAATATCAAAGGACATTCATATTTGAAAATCGAAAGCACATTCATATATTCCATTTAAATCTACTATCTACCAAATAATGGAATCAATATAACAGATTGAACAACGTTACAATTTGGAAAATGTTTACCAAAAGTTGAGAAATATTGGAACGATAACTGTAAGGCTATATAGTCTGAAAAATATACATGAAAGTAAATTTCACCTACAAATAGTTCAGCCTATCATGATATGTTCAGTTTGAAATTCACAAAATTCTACACATAATTATTATACACAACCACATCAGTTTGATGAACTTGAAATGAATTTGACAAAGGAAGTAAAATATTGAAATTCTAATGTAATGAATATTTTCACATTTAAAGTTTATCAACAAAATAGATTTTGTGAAAGTACAAAGTGAACGGTGTAAAGCTGTATTTATTACTAAACCTATTACAATAACCACTAAAAAACTGCCAATATTGTGGCCCCTTCTACCCAAATTCCGCCTATCATGCTGTACCATAATGATCAGTTCGAATTCACAAACGGTTTCACAAAGAAATTGTAAAGCGTAGTATCAAAGACTCCTTTAAATTTGTGGATAGCATGAAAACTCTATCGGTGAAAAATAACATCATGATATAATTAGATGTATTGTCTTTATTCAGTACCATTCCACTATTGGAAACATTGTATTTGATTTGTAGTGAACTAATGGAGAGTCATATACAAACTTTAATTTTCGTATCTGCAATGAAACATTTAGCTCTTAATTGTCCTAAAATGTCCAAGTCCTAATTAACAATGTTCATGCTATCCAAAGTGGCATAAATGCCCTCACAGGATGAAAATCTCATGGATCCAGGATCATCAAGGCATCCGTCAAGACAAAGGAGGAGGTAATACAGTAAATGCTATCCAATTTTATGCACCAAGAATTATGGAGATGACAACGATAAAGATCAGTTTTACGAGACACTGCAAACGATCATGGCGAATTGCCCAATAAACGACCTGGCAATCTTGATGGGAGATCTAAATGTCAGTGTCGGAATGGACAACAACCGTTTTGACGATATCATGAGACGACAGGGACTGAATGATAGAATAGAATGTTCAATCGACAAACCGGTTATAGATGGCATAATATTCTCACATAAACACGTACACAAAGCCACATGGGTCTCATCGGATCACACCACAGAGAACCAGATAGATCATATTCGCATCAGCAAAACACTCGCAGGGTCAATGGAAGTCGTGAGAAGCAGGAGAGGTACTGACAAAGCTTCAAATCACCACTAGCTGGTTGTAGATGAAACTGAAGCCAAAAGAACATTCGACAACTGGAGAAACGGCATTACGAAGACTCAATATAGCCTTCATTCCACAGACTGACAAATTTAACCAGTTCAAAATAGCTCTCAACAATAGGTTCCAAGCCCTACGGGATTCACCGAAACAAGAGGAGACTACTATGGAGAACGACTGGAAAGTGTTCAAAGAGGCACTAACTGCAACTTGTCGAGAGTTGCTGGCCGCAAACTACATTATCAATCATAAGGTGTGAATCTTCATGACGACTGTGGACGAGATTCAAGAAGGAAAGAGCAAGAGGACAGCAATTAACAACCACCGAACAAAAACAGAGAATGTAAGGGCACAAAATGAATACACAGGTGCATACAACCAATTGAAGAGGAGCATTCGAGCTAACATGCAGAAGTAAATGGAAGACCTATCAACGACAGTGGATGAAACTGTAAGAGAAGGAAATATCAGACAACTATACGACAAAACGAAGATATTGCCAGGGAAATATGGTGAACCAGAAAGACCGTTCAATGACAAAAAAGCTAGGATTACTAATAAGAAACAGGAACGGAGGAACAGATGGGTAGAATACCTCGAAAAAAATGCCTCACTTTCTAATCAGGAAGATTTGGGTAGTAAAAAGTGCCTGTGGACTGGTAACATGAATACCTCATCAAGGTAACAAAAGTATGAGATCTGAGAGAATGTGCAAACGTAGCTGCAGAGAAATCACACCACTATCGGTACCATAAAATATTGTCAACAGAAAGTTTTTGAACCGAACTAAAAACTTAGTAAACGCCCAACTTCGCTAGTGTACAGACCAAGTCGGAATATTACGAATCACTGTTGAGTGATTTTCTTGATTATGAGAAAGTTCTTGAAAGTGTGGACACGAGAATATCATTGAATCTTTCCCGACACTATGAAGTGAGTAGATGAGAATATCGTCAACATTATACGGGATTCATACGACAGACTACAATGCAAAGTGGTTCATGGAGGACAGCTGGCAGACGCATTGCATGTGGGGACTGTAGTCAGATAAGACTACTTTCTATCGATAGGATTATGAAGACCTCAAAATCTGAGCGGAAGCACACAATAAAATAGACAAGTTGGGTGCAACTAAACGATATCAATATCAAATTCACAATTTTCAATACGAACGTCAAAACAGTCCTACTGTACAGAGCTGAAACTTGGAGAACTACCACAACCATCATCAAAGAAGTTGTTAGTTATGTCCATAGCTAACCAATCAAATCGTCGTTGATCTGGTCTGATGTGTCTGTAAACTATCCCTCTTGCATGTGACCTACCGATTGAAAGACGTTATTATCTTATTATAATAAAGTGATCCTTAGTTTTATTCATTTCGACAAGGCACGTAATACTGGTTGGTATGTTTGTGTATTTCACTTGATAACTGTAGTTTCATTAATTATTGTACTAATCTAATTGTTTTACGTTCAGAAACAGATAAAGTTCGCATAGACTCTGTGCTCGCCAGCATCGCCTTTACGGTTCTGGTAGTATATCTGTAAGACAAATTAAATCCTACAGAAGTACATGTATTTCTGAACAGTTGTCTACGTAAGATACTTAATCTCCGTTGACTTGGTACCATCAACACATATCCTACTATGAGAGAGAACAAACCAACTCAAAGCTCATGAAGAAATTAGAAGAAGGGGTTGGAAGTGGATAGGATACATGTTGAGGAAATAATCAAAGTGCTAATTTGAAATCTTGAGAAGAAACGGAAATAAGGAAGGCCAAAGAATTGTAATTGAACAGGAAAATGATGAATAGTGACTGGAAGGAACTGGAAATAACTGCTTAGAACAGAGTTGGATGTGGCATGCTGGTGAGAGGTATGTGCTCCTCCATCATGTGTAGCAGGTGTAAGTGCGTATATATTTCATGTCCGCAATCAAAACATTTCTATTCAAAATAAGGTTTTATAATCACTCTCCCTATATTGGTCGGTGGTATAAGTGTGAGTTATTAGCTGAACTATCAATAAGTCCTTTCTTTCATAAACAATTTTCTAATCGCTTCCAAATTCGTTCTGCATATTCTCATAATCCGCCTTTTGATTCTCACATAACTACTGTAGTACTAAACTTTCATAAAATGATTTTGTTAGCTGTTCTAATGAAGCCACTGTCTAATTTTTAGAATAATCACCTAGATTATTAACTTCGTTTTGCTTCCAATTACTTAATATTATTTTGTAATCAACGTGACGTTATATAATTGTTACGTAAGCCAACTACTTGATGAGAATTACTTCATTCCTGTATATAATCCAGTATAGTCATGGTGAAAAATTATTTGATTAGAAAATATTTCACTCCATCCAGTCCTTTTGCCGAGTCTACCATGTGTTCACTTGTTTGAATAACTGTGAACAAATAAAAATACTTTTTCTTGTTACAAACTGTAAAAGCATTTATCGATGCGACTTATTATTAAATCGATGAGTCTATCATATTCGGAATGAATGCCTTTCCTCTTTTTCAAGAGTTGAGAGACAAACGGAGAAAGTCTATAGTATGAACGAAAGTCCCCTGATAAATAAAGTTCATGCAGTTCAATAAATCAGAAGCCTCTTAGTTACTCTTGTTAAGTTTCTGATCGTTTAAGTAAAATTCACTTGAACGGACATAACAGTTAACTGTTGCAAGTCGTTTCATGTGCACATTATGGTAGAAATCCAGGATATACAATATGTATCATAATTCAAGGTGTGATTCACTTCAGCTTACCTCCATGAGTTTTCGGTTCAGGTATTACACATCTTGTGTTTGTTAACACTGTTTAATTAGAAACGTTTAAATTTAAGCTCATTGTTTTACACGTTAATCAAACATTTCTCCAATGAAAGAGATGGTCATCAATTGTAGGCAGTCAGATTCGATTACTGTTCATGTGAGCCAAAATACATGTTTTCAAAGTAAAAACACGATTATAGCGTCAAATCCTGTCACTTCATATTAAAAAGAGCTCAGATCACTTCCATAAAGCTGCTTAACATTCATAATAAAACGAGAATTACCTCAGCATTCAGTCGTGTAAAATATTCATGTTCATAAGCAACTGATAAATTAGCAATAGGTTCAGACTTTCCAAACAAACACTGATTTCATGCCTCCCAGTAAACATTAGTCCTTAAATGAATAATTTTGATTTCAACCTCATCTTTAAGTTTTTTGGATAAAGACGCTTCTCAGCGCAATTATCTGTTAGTTCATATATCTCATGCACAAATGTGCTGCCTTCTTCAATACTATAATACTATCACCTGATTATATTTACAAAATAACATTGATTTGAGTGCTACTCTCGAATTACATTTGTAGGTTGATAAACGGGATCACACTCTTTTCCATCACTCTGAAAAACTATCAAGTTATCATTTGGGATATGTTGACTGTTGAGCAGTCTCACTATACAAATTACGCATAAACTGTCTGTCATTCGACTCGTATTCATATTTCAAGTAGTGGAACTACTACTGAATGAAAGTATTACACTCGCGTGTTACGCAGTAAACTGGGAATGGAATATATTATCGGTACTCATGAAGTCATATGTTCGTAGTTTCACAATTTAATATTTGATTTACACCCCGAGTTCATAGGATTTTCAGTACAAAATGTCTATTGATTGTGCGTGTTATCCATCTCTCAATTAAACAATCCGTATGTGTGCAATTCCTTTTATGAATTTGAAACGGTGAGGAGCGAGTCAATTTCATGACCTATCACTTACGTAGATTTTGCTACTCAACTAACGGAAAGAATTAGCATCTAAGAGTGACATGAATTTCTGAGGAATGATGTTACAAGAAGCTAAAATTATTTACTTTCAAACATGTCGTCAGGTCATGTTATTTCGAAAACAAGGGAACCGTTAAATTACAATATTTGACTAGATAGTTATGAATAGCAACTCTTACCGTTATATTTGGATATTTCTGTGTTGATACACTGGTGTAGAGTCGACGATTCCGGCACTTTTATTTCTACATGTACCAGAATTAAGTAAAAAATAGACTTCATATTAAGTCATGTACAAGTTTACATAGATATCATTCTCTATGACTTATCAGACTGAAAATAGATTCTATTCACAAATAATACGTTTATACATAGTTGAATATGGAATTAATAAACTGAAATATATAACACATTTTGGTCGAATAATTGACTTGGATTAAACAAATAAATACATACTGTATGAGTTGATGTCAGATATTACGTCTCGAAACTCTAAAATATCTCAAGGAAAATCAATATCACAATTGTGTATGGAAATAGTGCATTTGTTTCAACTTAAAATAGGTGTAATAGACCAATATGGGAATCTACTATTTGAATATGTTTAAATGATTCGTAGTAACTAGTAACCAGTGTAACCGTTTTGTCAACGTCTCAAATTACTACAATAGATTTTCATCTATTTTTAAATTTATCAAACAGTAGAATCCGGAATACGCGACCGGACTCATCTGGACTCGTCAACTGGATGTTGCTTCGTTTCAATTCTGACGTTGACACTTAGACTCTGACTGCATATTTGTTTCCAGATGAAGTGGGTAGATGATTGGCAACTGATACATATGAAAATTATCACGATCTGAACACATACATTATCATTATCATCATCATCCAATCATCAAATGATAACGCTCAGTGTTCTTCGGAATAGTATATGCATATCTACCGTATAATCATTCAGATAATTAGTTTATTAAAGTTATCGTAAAATTTTATTTTTGTCTCCATTAAACACTGGGTGGATGAGATAAAAGTGTCGCATTTTATGAATCGTAATAGGATGAGAAATACAAACGTGCTGGAATAATAAGAGTTTATTTACTTCACTCAGTCTACTCATCTCTTCTCAGTTTAGTCTGAATGCGGTGCGTCAGTCATTAAGGGAATTTCTTATCCCTAAACTATGTTGTACAATTAGTACACATTAAAAGTGCGCACGATTGGCTCATCGAAAGCAAATCCTTCATTTTATCAAATATGAAACAAGATATTTGAAAACGTTTTTCACACACCTTGTATTATTTCTGGCATCCAGTACTGTTTAGTAGCAAATTTCATGCAGTTCACATCTACAATTCATCAATGTGATTAATGCACTATCATTCCATTTACATACATTTAGTGACATTTTCACGATCATTTAAGAACTTCTTGACAACCAAATCTAAAATTTATGATAAACAGTGAATATCTAATTATCACGCTACATCAGTGAATATTAAGTAAAAATTGTACAAATTGTTTTATTAAATGTTTTACAAAATAAAGATAAAAATGATACTTTATCACGTCATATATTAACTACTGCCATCATGTTGTGTTAATGAGGTGTGGCAACGTGGAAGAAGCAAATATGTGCCTGGTTCTGCGTTGTAGCAGACTGACTACTTACTTACACCTGTTACTCCTCGTGAAGGAGCATAGGTCGCTCACCAGCATTCTCCATCCAACCCTGTCCTGGGCAATCCTTTCCAGCTCCTTCCAGTTGTAATTCATCCTTTTCATATCTGCTTCTATTATCCGACGTAATGTGTTCTTTGGCCTTCCTCTTTTCCGCTTCCCTTCAGGATTCCAAGTTGGAGCTTGCCGCCTGTAGCTCTTCTAGAGTTACTGCCGGTCCCAAGCCCGGGTAAAGGAGGAGGGTTGGGCATGGGGTTAGCGTCCCCATCCCAAAGAAAACTAACTCGCTAAAAAAACGCTTACCAGAAAAAATAATTCAAACCATTTTAACTCTGCCCTGAGAGTTAGAAGGTCTTCATTTAGAAGCAGACTGACTACCCGATATAAATATACTACCGTCAGGCGAAAGTAGTCAAAAGGAAATCAATCCTACATATCGTTGAATATCGCATGGCTAATTTAACATGTTCTGACTGTTTCACATTTATTAATTTGAAAAGAGGTAAGTTGATTTATTCACTGAACATGTGTCCAGGTAGTCGTCGCGACCTACCATTAGAATTTCACTAATCATCTTAATCACTAGTGCATTCCACATATTGTGATGAGTACAATCAACAAACGACTACAATGCAATGTTTATCGAAATCAGCTTATAAATATGAACTATCTATTCTGAGAAATGCAACATGTTATTAACATGAATGAATTCGTGAATAAATTACTTATTTGTTTCTCTATTTCATTGTTAAATGTGGAAAGACCCAATTCATCTTTCTTCAAATTACCTAACAATTGAACACAAGATACAGTTGAAATATGAAGTGATTACATAAGGGAAGAATGTGCATATATACAAAGAGATGATTGTGTATCGATAATGTCTAGCAAGAAAATCATACATGGATAGAAAATGAAATAGAAACAATACAAAAGTGACATTGATTGAACATATGCAACTATCATATATTCCACACTATGTATCAACAATCAATCAGGCAACAAAACACTCTGTCTACCTAAACAATTATCCATCAACAAATCTATTATCTATCTATCTATCTAACTATCTATCTATTCACACATCCGTCTATCTGTTTATCTCTCTCTATCTATCTCTGTCTGCCCGCAGAGTCGAGTCACCTAGACTGGTGACCACATTGCAACATGATCGATAGCATTTGATCCGCATTAATAAGGACTAGACACGCATGACATTGATCCGCCACCCATTGATCAATCGATCGTGATTATCTATCTATGTATTGTCTGTCAATGCAATTATCTATCTAGCAATCCATTTATATTTTCATCCATCTGTCTATTGATCCGAGGATCTTTCTATTTTTCTATGTGTCTGTATGTGTAACTACCTTTATTTATTTTTATATTTGCTTCTGTATCTGTCTATCCATTACAAATACTTTACTGAAATCTATATATAAAGACAGTTCTTCAATTTCATAATTTGCTCGAATCGTCGTTTGATACTTGCCCACTCTCTTCAGACATTCCTCTAATCCTTAATTGTATTCCATCAAATTCAGTCACTTCAAATATCTGGTTTAGGTGTGTTCGTTCTGAGTTATAGAAATATTTAAATTCAGCATTTTAAGTGAATTAACTTCCTGAAACTAAGGGACGGTTACAATTATTCGAATCGTAAATGATTTCGTATATTCACTGAATAGACGTTTATTTAACTGTTACTACAAGTGAATGAGAGCAATTAATCACACTGCTGGAGAATGAACTCAGTTAGAAGGAAAACTGCGTATCTGAGGCTTGAATTCTCACTTTTGTATGCAATTTGCTCATTCACATATCATAACTAAGAGTATGAAATACTTATGAATCTACAACACAGTTACCTGTTAAACTTTGTAAACTGCCCTTAAAATCATCCAAACTATATGGTTTTGCACCAACTACAATTTGAACATAATTAAGTTTAGTTCAAAATGCGAGCAAATACATGAAGTGAAACAATGATAATAGGAGATGTTGTTCTTCGTTTTACGTTTGATCGTTTACGAAAACGTAATAGAACACGATCTGCAATTATGTAGATCGAGTGACTTGTTCAGAATATTTCTGCTAATTTGTATAATCATTACCAAGATGTAAACTATATTTGTATTATTAACCAATTCACATCGTAATACACGGCCATCCGATATTGTTTACACACCAACAGGATGATCAGCGTATCTTTCCAAATTTAATCATCAAATAAACACCTTCACTTTCATTTTAAGCTAATTCGTTCTGTTTCAACTAAACCTTTGTCATCTTATAAAACTAACTGTACTTGAAACCAATGGGATCAACTCAAATGTCACATCCTCAGACGTCGAAATCTTGAAACAATTCTTACATCGGTTAAGTAGAGGTTTCATAACAATTCACTCGACTTTACGGTTCTATTGGTCCTGAATATTTGTCTGCTGTCTTAATAGACTTTTTCAAGAGAACACTTCCTTATAAACTTCCATTATCAATGAAAAATGCCTAGAGGCATGTGAATGTTAACTGAAATACATCGACAAGTATTTGATTTGTTTGAACTCAAGTATCAACAATTTCATTCAGTCAAATTTTCTTTGAAATTGACAAACTTTGTACACCATAAACATCGACACAATTCACCGAAGATTTTGTAATTACTATGTACATGAAATGATAATGACAAATGTTGAAATACTTACCAACTTTCATGGAGGCACATAGAAGTAAAGGCAACACGTTTATATGAAATAATATCAAATGCTTCATTTTTACTATAAACTGTTCTTTTGAATTTTTATTCTTTATATATTGCCACCAATCGTTGAAAATCTAATATGAAAAATGATTTGCTTAGTGTCAACAAACACAATGAAAAAGAAACTCAGATTTATTTGAAAATATGTGGAATTCACAGCGTCTTATTGGTGTGATATTGCATATACCTTCAATCACCGCTGAGTTCAACTCTGTAAAGTGTGTATATATATTTTTAATAGACAACATCATTATTTACAACCACATGTGCGTCAGTTTGATGGACTTGAAATAAATTTGACAAAGGAAGTAAAATATTGAAATTCTAATGTAATGAATATTTTCACATTTAAAGTTTATCGACAAAACAGATTTTATGAAAGTACAAAGTGAACGGTGTAAAGCTGTATTTATTACTAAACCTATTACAATAACCACTAAAAAACTGCCAATATTGTGGCCCCTTCTACCCAAATTCCGCCTATCATGCTGTACCAAAATGATCAGTTCGAATTCACAAACGGTTTCACAAAGAAATTGTAAAGCGTAGTATCAAAGACTCCTTTAAATTTGTGGATAGCATGAAAACTCTATCGGTGAAAAATAACATCATGATATAATTAGATGTATTGTCTTTATTCAGTACCATTCCACTATTGGAAACATTGTATTTGATTTGTAGTGAACTAATGGAGAGTCATATACAAACTTTAATTTTCGTATCTGCAATGAAACATTTAGCTCTTAATTGTCCGAAAATGTCCAAGTCCTAATTAGCAATGAATACCAACGACTATTGAATGGTATAGCCATTTGGTCACCATTGTGCTCTGTCCTGGCACACTGCTTTTTCTAAAAACTTGAAAATGGACCAATTAAGCACATAGTCATCCATATAACATCTTTCTATCACTACGTAGATAATACCTTCATCGAATTGGAAAAAAGAATGTGAGAAGGATAATTTACTTAATATATTTGACAAAATTCATTCATCTATTACTTTACATTTGAGAAAGAACAGAGCAATGGCATATCGTTTCTAGATATCCAACTAACAAGAGGAATATGTGGAACATCAAAAAGAGGGATAGACTGAAAATCTGTAGTTGAGCGGTATACTCATTTCTATAGTGCTGTACCAGTCGGATATAGAAGAAACTCAGTACAAATTCTGGCTGATAGTGCTAGAATGATCGGCTCAGTCGACACCATGGTATATGTATTGAGTAACATTGTGACCTGCATAATAACAATAGATATCCAACGAAATTCACCAACAAACACATGAGTGCCATGAGATGATCAAATGTATCTACGGTTCCGAAGAATCACAATTCCTTAACGATGTTATCAAGGACTTTGTAACCCGAAAGTTAAGAAATGAGAAGCAGATAATATTTACTTCAGCCAAATTGAATGTTGTCTTCCGTAACCGCCCGACAATGAAAGCAAACATTGAAGACAGACCATTTAGATTTGCCAAACCCATGTTTACTTACCAATTCAACTACTCATGTTGAACCATTTATATATGGCGTACATCTAGGCCAGTCCGTCATCATGCATCAGAACACCGTCATGGTTGAATAAATGATAGGTAAGAGTGATTAGGAGTACTATTACTGCTCATTTTTCGGATGCGAGACACTACGTTGACTTGAACGAAATGTTTAAGATTATTCACCATCCTCCATCAATTTACCACATGATTTACGGGTTTGTCTGTTGCGGTTACTGGAATCTTCCTGTAGCTATTCTAAAGTTACTGCCGGTCTCAAGACTACACAAAGTGGGAGGGTTGGAGGTGGGTCGACAATTCCACTCCGTAGAAAACAACCTTGTTTATAAAACACTAACCAGAATAAACAATATGAACACCATGCAGAATTCATACGACGGGCTACACTGCAAAGTGGTCTACGGAGGATAGCTGACAGGCGCGTTGCCAGTGGGGACTGGGGTCAGATACGGAATCTTTCTCACCCCTTTCTCTTCTGAAGTTTGACAGGATTATGAAAACCTGGATATCGGAGGGGGAGCACGGAGCACAGCAGACAGGTCGGATGAAGCCAGACGATTTGGACTTCGCAGATGACCTGATCTTTCTATCCCATACCCGTCAACAAATGCGGTGTAGGAGGCAATTTTACACAGGTATAATTGTTGTTGTTCTCTAAACGGCGAACTCTGAACCTTTGTTTAGCCGAAGTCAGAACAGGTAGGCTATTTGCCTTGGTAAATTTTATCTGTTTCTAAAATCTAAAATGACATACTTTGTATGCAAAATAATTGATACAGTCTATTAAACAGGGAAAAGGAGAGAATTAAATAACATATTGAACAGTAACTGGAGTATAGGAAATATTGTTTTATAATGAACGTAAAATTGTGATTGCTGAGCTAACAAGACGTAGTCATACAAGGTCAAAGTAAGCTGATGTGGTGGAGGTCGTTTCACTTCATGAATAATGGGTTTGTTTATCGATAACAACTTACACTCCTCCCGAAACGCACACCATGTCTGCCGTCCTGGGTCAATGTCGCCGTCAGATAACTGTCTTCTTTCAATAAGCGTAGGCTTCGTACATCCCGAACGATTTCTTTGTTTGCAGTTCTCAACTTTGCTATACGAACTCGCCCGTCAGGGCCATGGATTACCTGGATTTAGGCCATAGACTCCTACTCGTTTCAACGTTACTAACGAGAAATAGGTTGCCCGGTTGTAAATTCTTGCGTACGTTCGACAATTTATCGCTTGTTTAGAGAGTCAGTCCATATATACCAAAATGCGGTAATTAACCTCTGAGCTTCTTTCCATCTTTTATTGTATAATAAAGACTTATCCATAGAAAATCTTCGAATGCTAATCCGTTATAAATCAACAACAATTTATTTGGAGTACGAGCCTCTACGCTGCCAGGTACATCGTCATTTTAACTAGTGGTTTGTTATTTAATAATCTTTCTGCCTCGGTTAAGAACGTTTGCAAAGCTTCATCGATCAGCACATTTTGAAATAAAAGCGCTCTTAGAATTCTTCCAACTGATCTTATGATGCTTTCCACACACCACCACGATGACCTACCCTAGGTGGGTTGAAACGCCATTCACATCCTCGTTCTTTGAAGCGGTTCCCTATTTTGTTTTGATCCCGATGGCATATAATCCGTCTTAAACAAACATCTGCACCTCGGAGATGTGAACGGTTATCGCCAAAAATACGCTTTGAACATTTTCTTCTCGAAATAAACCTTGATAATGAGCATAAAAATGAATCCGTGTTGAGAGAGTAAGTCATTTCAATGTGAACAGCTCTAATAGATATGCAGGTGAATAAACAGGCGTAGCGTTTTTCAACGACTCTCCTTCGTTTGGGATAGAATGATCCGACATAATCCATAGTACTTACCTAAAGGGTGGCGAACGATTCTCTACTCGGTACTCCTGCAACGGAGCCAGTATTCGGGAGCATGTCATGGAATAAAGTCTTCTACGTAAGTAGCATCGTTTTAAAACCTTTTGGATGACAGAGTAACGTCTAACAATCCAATACTCTTTAAGAATATCACTTAAAATTTGATTAGCCCCGACATGTGAGTTAATCATATGATGATGCATTACAATCATATCTGTAACTGATACGATGAGAAGAAAAAAAAAATCAATTTTTGATTGATTTACTCATTATGAGTCTTATTCAACATTACATCCATTCTAATTCAATGTGTTGATCATTCACAGTAGCATTTGTTTTCTTTCGTCGTATGATATTTTATTCTGTATAATATGCGGTATTCTTGTATTCCGTTGACATGAAATATAATCAGTCTGTGATTTGTTATAACTAGCTATTTTTCAAATATTTGATTTTATTCTAATTATTAATCAAAAATGGGTGTAAAATCAATATATAATCCAGTGTATTTTAGACTACTTTGATCATCGTTCGTCGTCGTGTTTGCGGCTAATAAATCTTCACTTATACCAGTCTTTTGTTCTCACTTCGCACCATGGGAATTTCGGGGGTCCCTCGTTCCGGGTATAAGTGATCAGTGGCTTTTTCCAGCACAACAATCGGCGACGACCGAGTACAACACTAACGAAGTGATTATTAGGAAGAATAATCGGATGTTTGGTTTCAAAGTGTAAACATGATAATTGCAGACATCCTCATACGCTTTCTAACATAAAGTGGTTGAGATTTCTTATCAAACTATGACGAATCAATTTTTTTCTCTTGACCATCTCGTTGATTCTTTCCCGGCCTTCCCACTGTTTATTAGCGTTGTCTCCGAGCGTTAGCGATGGACTGTCTAGGATTCTCTTTTCGTCCGGGAATACAGCACTTTGGACTAGCTTAATTATGTCACTCTACGACTTATTGATATCCATAACACTTATTGCGCCCATAATTAGATATTTTTTATTCCTCTTGTTTAACGTATTTTCAATAAACCATTTGTAGTTTGAATCACCCTTAATAATCTGGACCATGAATTACACGTCTGAAATCGATCTAGAAACTGATCGCTGCATTTTGAGGATTCAAAATCTTCTGTTACTACATGGGTCACAGTGTTTTCATGCTTTTCTAGGCTAGGCCATTTATATTCTTCCTTTCACAGGAATTCCGGCCCTTGTAACTACTCCTTTATCATTTGATGATAGTCCACGCGACGCGTGGTCTGCAGGATTCAATTTACCTTTCACGTATCTCCATTGGTTCGGCATAGACAACACATGTATATTTGCTGACCTGTTACTCACAAAATTTACAAAGACTTTAGTTGTACTTTTTATGCAATGAAGCACAATTATTGAATCCGTCCAATAGACGACCGACGAAATGCGAATATTTAACTGTTCCTTTGCATGCTTTTTAATCTTACGACACAGAACACAGGCCGTTAACTCGATTCTGTGTATAGTGACAAGTTTTATAGGAGGAACTCCCGACTTAGATAGCAAAAATGAGCAAAGAATTTGACCAAAAACACTTTCATAACGAATATACG